ATTTGGGATTGCCAACTGTCTAATTTTATCACAGTTCTCATGATACTTGTTATTTTTTCTTTAAACCACAGTTTCTTAAGTCATCTTATCATCTGGGTAACAGAGCTTTTATTGCAGAAAACCTATAGCACCCTCTACATGGAGAAAATGTTAGAAGGCCCAAAAACCAGAAGGCAAATAAAGAATGCAAACCACACTATTTTTACAAGCAGGTTTATGAGCAGCACAACTGGGGAAGTCTGGTTTTCTGTGGCTTTTTGTCTTTGTGGTTGATTCTCTGATGTTTAACAAGGTGCAAATCCAGATTAAGTTCTTCCCATGGCTGTGCATTTCTAATAGCTCTTTCCTCACACAGATCCCATAGAGTCTAAAAAGGAGTTTGAGCTCTTCCTACAGTTTTTCCTATCACTAAGAGTTCTACCCAGATCCATCCCCTCTTGAGAAGGTCAGAGGGAGGGAGATGGACAGAGATTTTTCTTTATGTGACTTGAGTTTCTGAAATAATACTGATAAAACAATCCTTTTAAAAGCAAAGTAATTAAGAAGTATTTGATTAAGTCAATATGAACAAACAAATATTTAAGTATTTTCAATGCTAGGAGCAAAACTCTGTCTCAAAGCACTTCATTATTAATGCTTTCCACATACATGTGTTATTTTTCATCCTAATTGGCTCTATTTTATATTCATGGTGGATTGGCTACAGGACAACAGGATATATGGCAAAGCCTCATCTGCAATTTATAATGCAGTACAGTCTTTGCACAAAGCAAAGGAGGATTTAAAACAAGATATATGTGTCAGCACCTGGTCAAAAAAGGTAACACTGTTGCTTGCTGTAGGGTAGATTTCTCTTGTAAGGTCATGCTTACACATCACTTTGCACTAGACACACAAGAATTAGCAAGGCTATTCCTATATTAAGAGAGAAAATAGGTGACCTAATGGTAAGACCTCTGGTGATTGCCCTTCATCATCTAGAGTGGATTTTCAAGAAACCTGTAGGAGACTTAGCTGCCTGCAAGTCCTCTCTTCAAAGTTTACTTGAACTTGAGTAGCAGAAACAGCAGTGAACAGGGAGAGTAGGTTAGGTATGAAAGGGAGAAATACAGACACACAAAACCTGTGTCATCACCAGGTTTCCTTAGGGAGGCAGATTAAAGAAACCAATGGAATTCTTCAATGAAAGAAGATACCAGTTACACCAATTTTAAGGTAAACACACTCTTCCTTGGGAAGAAATGTGATGTTCCTTCTCAGTCATACAACAAACCAGTGAAGACTGTTAGGAAAGTTCTAACCAAAAACTTTGCAGACTCCCTCATGTCACACTGGAACTGAACACACAGTATTTACTACTGAAAAGTTTTAGCACTTCCAAATAAACATGGTAAAAAAAGCACATCCTTATGTTATACTGAGCTAAATAGCACAAAGTTTTAAATGCTGTACTGTCTATACACCATTCTATTCCATACTACATTAAGAATAAAGACTGCATTTTTAATATACACATATATACACACAGAAACCCCTACATTTTACTTCTGATTTAAGGAGCTATTAAGTTTGATGGAAACAGAAATTTCTTACTGTGATTCTCTTCATATCTAGCTGTCGGAGCTGCATCATATGATGGAGAACAGTGTGTTTGTACCATGTCTCCTGAGCTATTGGATTGCCATCAAGGGTGATATCTGACAAAGATGAGGAATCAGCAAGGCACAGAATATCCTCAAAACTGTAACCAAAAGAGTTTAAAGTTTTAATGTCATAGAGTAGGAATAATTTTGAGGTGGAGAGAACAAATATTTCCCTGTACTGACAACCCCCCCACCCATCAATACTGTGTATGATAAATTCAAATGTAAGTATTCTCCAATACCAACAGCTGCTTAACCCCCCCCATCAATACTGTGTATGATAAATCCAAATATAAGTATTCTCCAATACCAACAGCTGCTGCTGTTAAACTTTTAATTTCTTCACATACAGATAAAGAAACATGCAGAATCAGGAGAACTTGTTAGCTATGGGAGTATAGTTTCACCTAAACCCCCTCTAAAATATGATATATATCAACCCATATGCCAAAAACTAACACAAGGTGTTGTTATTGCCATCAAAGGCAGCATGAAAAACATGGAAAATACAAGGAAAAAGGACAACCACAATACCACAGAATGATCCTGGGTGTTTGCAACATCATTACTATTGGAAGTAGAACAACTACAAAAGCATCATGTTATCTTCAGAGCAGATCAGTCTATTGCTCTGAGTTCAGCCTACCAACACCACCAACTTGGCTTCTTAGACAACATCAGATCTGGTCACCTGAGAAAAAACAACTGGCCTGGGTAAAATGTATTTAGAGATGTATGACCTGTGCTCCTTACATCGAGGATGGAATGAAATGAAAGCAGCCCAGGTAAACAGTATTTTTAAACAACAGAGTGTGTTCCTTACATCGAGGATGGAATGAAAAGAAAGCAGCTCAGGTAAACAGTATTTTTAAACAACAGACAACTATTTAAGTGGTTTTCAAAAAAAGCTTCACAGTTATGGCAACAAGACCCTCCAACACCTTTTAAGAAACTGATTACAATGTACAAAAGTACAACTGCACACCCATTCCCATGCACTTTGGCCTTCAAATATCAAGTCTGCATTAAGTCAAGCCAAACCTGAAGGATGCCCTGAAATTAGGGATCAGAAATCATATGCAGTACAGATGTTCACTGAATAAAGTGGCAATTGCTTTTATCATGCAATTAGTACAGCATGCAAGTCACTTCTTCACGACATACCCAATGTGTGCAGCAGAAAAGAGACAGAGTAAAGAGCAAGAAACTAATGTCTTTCTGCTGAGTGGATGAAAACAACTTAAGAACCCATGGAAAATTAACCATGTCCAGATGAAGGCAGTGAAGGTGCTTAGCATAAATGGAGAATTGGGAGTTCTGTACATGTGGTTAAGGTGACAAGTTTGATTATCAGATTATCATTTTCTGCTGCTTTTTGTGATCTAGTTTCCTTTCCAAACAACAGCTTGGGGAACCACATTGTTGGAAGATCAGGCTGACATATAACCTAAAATACATATTCAACATGTCCTGAATAAAATCTGATCTTACCAAATGACACAGAAGTTAGTAAAGCAAACATGTAAACATCTTAGACTAAAATAACCAACTAAATTTATGCTGAGCTAGAACAGACTTTGCTTGACAAATACGAAAAGTTTTGGTCTTCAGAATTATTTTCAAATGTAAATATATTTTTTAAAAAGTTTTGGTCTTCAAAATTATTTTCAAATGTAAATATATTTTTAAACATCGAATATATTTAGTCCAAGTACTTCCCACTAAACATTTAACCAAACACTACCTGTGCCATTACGTATGATTTACAGATTTTTAATAAAAACAATTTCTTCAGAAAATGACAGAAAAGTTGTCAGCTTGCTAGTGTTTTTAAGACCTTCCACTTATACACACTGCTGTGCTCTGAAATTCTCACTGCTTCAGCATATCAGGACATTCATCCTGGAGCTAAACCAGATGTGCTTACTTTATCCTGCTTTTAGCTTCCTTACTAGCAGCTCAATTTTAGAAAGAAACAGTAGTGCAAAAATAACTGTTTTCACATTTTTGTGTACACATATAAAAACCAGAGCTTTAGAAATCTAATGCAGAAAACTTAATATACTGTACTTGTCACACTGGTATTGCAACCCTAAGCCAAGCAAAGCTTTAATGTGATACACTTACCAAACATTACATACTTTACAACCAAGCTGCTGTCAGCTCCCCAGCACACAGACTGCTGTGCCAGAGCCAAGTGGTGAGCAGCCTGTGGCAATCAGAGTCCATGTCTCAAGGCTCCCTCTAGCCTCTGCTCACCACAAAGGGGTCTTTAACCTGCTCATGAAATCCAAAGCAGCTGGGGATGATGCTGTTTCAGACTGTTTCAGTCAATCCGCTTGAGTGGAATGTCTGATTCTCTTTCCAGAAGACCTTCCCCTGCAGGTCTCCTACCACCTCAGTCAATCTGCTTGAGTGGAATGTCTGATTCTCCTTCCAGAAGACCTTCCCCTGCAGGTCTCCTACCAAACTATGGCCAGCACCTCTCCTTCCTGTCCTTTTTTCTTCTTAGATAAATTAGCTTTGCTAAAATGGTAGTTTCAGCAACACAGAAACAAGCCATGAATTTGGGCTAAATTAGCAAAGAGTGTTTTCTAGAAATCTTTTCAGAATAATCAGTTTACATCTTGTGTGCACGATCAGAGTCCTACACCCAACTCTCTCCTCTGCCAGAGGGATGCAAACCCGTTTCTCCTATCTCATATGAGATTAATTACTGTAATTACTGAGCAGCAGAGCACTCTGGAGCGGTGCAAGCTCAACTTCTGCCAGTGATGCACATTCACATTTCCACACGGGACACTGAACACCTATCCTCTCTTACAGCCTGCCTGTTTGCGGAGACAATTGTTCCTTCACACACTTGCACTGATGATTTTCCAAAAGGATGTTCCATAAAGGGAAAAAGCCCTGGGATAGAGAAGGAAGGCAACACACTTACTGTAGTCTGATAGAACTCCTGACAGAGAACTGAATGCTCAAAAAACATTCAAAGAAAAAGAAATTAGGCTTTTCCATGTTTCTAACCACCAAACTACTGATGCAAACATATGTTACCACAGCCAACCTTTCAATCCCCTTGTACTGCTTTTTTTCAAGCATTTAACTATGTATTTATAAATTTTCATCCTGCTGAGAAAAAAGGTATTTTCCTGTTTTCAGTAGGCTTAGAGCATTCCTTTTCTCACATTTCCAATTCAGGAACCACATGAAAACAACAATTACATAAGCTTGTATCCAGCTTTTCCCATGTGGCTGGGCAACATGCTTAGTAACCAAAAGAGCCAACACAGTGCTGACCTGGACAGCAGAGTAACAGTGTGAATATGTATTTTGTTTCCAAGATTCAAAAATGGTCTTCCCTTGTTTCACATGTTAAAATATGAGCAATAACCCTCTTGCTGCATCTCAGTGGCATACCTTTCCTGAAAAAGTTTCTGCAATCTTTTCCCTGTACCACAGGACAAATTCAAAATGGGATTTCTCCCCCTTCTTTCTAACTAGTCCTAGATATATTACCTTCAGCCAGCAGGTCTGAATGCCTCCACATTGTAACTGCTAAGGTTTTTTGGGCTGAAGCCAGAGACAGGATTTGCTTTCATATCAGCATCAACTTGCACAGAATGCAGTTTTAGCTTACATTACCTTGCCAATACATCCTTTTCACTAAAAGCTCTGCAGAGAAGCAGCAGAGCTCTGAGCTCTCCTCTGAAGCACGAGGCAAAAAGAACACTGTAATTAAACCCATGATAGATTCTCATGCCTTAAATAGTGACAATTTTTAAAAGGCATTCCCAAAACTTCTTCTGAAATATTAATTCAGTATGTCAGTTTGTGTCAATTTAAGACTCAAGTATTTTCACTGACATACAAAAATAGGAACAAAACTTTCCATGGAAGCATTGCCTCAAAAATGCTAATTTTTTTAAATGATCACTAATAAAATATTTTAATGAAACTAGAACTTTGTGCATCAATTTGCAGGTGCATAGACATTGCTGTTTCTAGGAGAAATAACTTTTCAAATTACCATGTGGCACACAGTAAACCCAGGTAAGTGACTCAAAACCACACAAAGTCATGTAAAAGGGATGTAGGAATGGTCAGATGGAGCACAGCAATTCATTAATATTATGGTTGCACATAACCTCTTCAGTCAGTTCAAAGAGGATCAAGTCAAGCATCAGAACATAGACAGCAAAGAGAACTCTTGCATAGTCAATCATTTTCCTGCTAGAAAACATATCTACTGCATCACTCAAAATCAGGAATTAAGATGGATTTTAGCCTTCAAAATGCTATATGTACTAGAGGTTTATTATTTAAGAAAGCCAAGCTAAAAATTATCAAAAGAAACTTGTTTTAAAACAGTGACTGGTGAACAAAGAGTTAAATTTACCCACCCACTTATCTATATCATACACCACATATGTAACAAGATTTATAGAAAAGCAATGTCTTTTGTTTAACATTACAATTTCTTATACCTATTCCTACTGCTAATTAGAACTAAATTATGTATTTGCACACATGTTCTAAAAAAGTATTTTTAGCTTACATGAAAATTAAGACTAGATCTAACAATAGTTTAACTGAAACCCCAAGGAATAAATGACAAAAATCATGATGAAGCAACAAGAAGGAATCTAGTGACCACAAACTTCGAGAAATGTACTTTCAAAACCTCACAGAAAAAAAACCCAACTTTTTTCCCTTCTTTGAATACTGTGAAAATAACAAGAACCTGCTCAAAACAATAAGACAAAGTAGTCAGAAAGCAACACAAAACAGACCAAGTATATAAAAGATGCAGAAATGCCACTGACTGCAGTGATGCTCCCTGACAGCAAGGGAGCCAGATACTGCAGTCCCCTCCTTGTTCTTGCCAACCTGAGCAGCTTTGTAGAAAACCAGAAATAAAAGGCAAGTCTCAAATCTGGAAATGATCCAAGAGCAGCAAAATGCTAAACCCCCTCTTCATTATACCAATTTACAACATAAAGCAAAAAGACCAGCAAATTAACTAAGGGAAGAACACATTAAAGACTGCTGCAGTTCATCTCTGATTTTTTAAAATGTTTAATAGTCATGAGTATTTCAGGAGATGTACTGCATTTATATTTCAAGAACCTGAGGAACACAAAGGACATTGGAGCTGTCTGCAAAAACAACATAATGCAGGTCAACTTAAAACCTTTGAATAGCTATTACAATAAAAACCTCATACCAAGCACAGCATTTTACAGAGCAGGCAGATAGCACCAGAACAGCATGGCAGTGCCAGTAATTAGAACATGAGGCATCTTGCCCCTACCCCACTTCAATTATTTGGTTGGAAACAAAGAAGACTGGTGATGATCAAGGGATAAAAAAAAAAAGACAAACCAAACTGAAGATAATGCAGGCACTTGGGCTTCTTTTAAATACCGACTCAACTATAAAGGCAGACTCAGAACTGCATTAATATGAAAAGGCACAGAAGACAAACAATTCTATTTATAACAAAATGCTCTTAGTTACTTGAAACTATAGAAGCTCTGCTTCATGAGCCAAGCTGTTCTGCTGCTGCCATCAGGGCTGAAAGGGAACCATGGATATACCTTTCAGACTTGATTAATATATGGACAAGTAAAATACCAGCACAAAATGATCGATCCATGGCAAGCAGAATCTGACTCAGCAGTTTGTGTAACTCCACAAATGCAGTGATGCTATGTTAAATATAACTTGCACCTTGCATAATGTTGCTTTAACAGAAATCTAGGTTAACAGTAAAACAACATATTTACAAACCCACCTTTAATTCTGACCATTATAAACAGTATGATAATTTTTAATTAAAAACATTGGTTTCTTGGTACAATACCCAGAGCACAACTACATTTAAATGCAAAGAGCTTCAAGAATTTTTATGTTTAAGTAGAAAATTCACAATGGTTCGATGATGTTATCTGATATGTTAGGGGAAAAAAGGGTATTTGCACTCGGAGTGAATTTAAATTTAAATTGTAATGAAATACAGCTCCAATAGGATACTTCAAATTACTGGTAGGAAGCAAACTACTATTTCCCTTACCTAGATATATTGTTGAAGCTGAGGAAGAGACGCTGGAGACAGGGCAAAGTATCCACATCTTTCTAGAAGGAAAAGACAGAGGCATAAATTCAGTAGCTGAGACTAGCATTGAACCTCTCTATCTGGCCTGATGAAATACTTTCATTTCTATCTGCTATAACCTTGCTGCAACATTGATTTCTGGTGAGCCTGCAGCTCCTTTCCTCCCTAGTGCAGACTGCAAGGGAGTGTTTCAGTGCAGACACTCACTCTGCAGAACAGGCTGCATCACTTGCAAAGCAAATGATGTTACAGAAAAGGAGGATATGCTGCTGCTGAGCTCTGAACAGGCTTTTGGGAAAGAAGCCAAGGTGCTGTCTCAGCATTTAAGCTGCAGGATAAACATGCTTAAAAAAAAAAAAAAGAAAGAAAGAAAGGTTTGCTGAAATAAGGTTTTGGAAGTGCAATACAGCAGTGAAATCAGCACTGCCAAACAGCAGTGACTCGTCTATCAGAGAATGATCTGAAGGACTTTCTCACCTTTATAACCTTTAAAATTAAAATTTATAAGAAAGAATGAGTTTCCAGAATAAGCAATTGTCAATTTAATATATGTCACTAAAGACCTTTGTAGAAAACCTCCAAATAGCAAATAGCTCAATTATTAGTAAGATGAAACATATCAAGTAAGATCCAACTTCATTTATGAAATACAAATCCAGCACAGCCTGCAGGGATTCCCATACCATTCAGACTGCACACCTAACCCCTCAGGTCTAAGGCTGCATCTCCTTACCCTGCTAAGGACCATACTCCAACTTGATACCACTGGACACAAACGTGGGAAAGGGAAATGAGCATCAGAGCTCTCTGCCTTGATTTTAGCCACACAATCCAATCTACAGCCCTTGCTCCCTTCATCATATTTGTGACATGTCTACATAGCACTCCAAAAACACTTCATTCCAACCCAACAGGCAACCCATGGCAGCTCTAAACAAACTGTGCAGCTGCTATTAATGAGGCACTGAGCGTAAGCTAACAAGTGCTGCTGAGAGTCACTGCTGTATGCAATAAGCAGAACTTCTGTGACCAAGTCTACAGTTGTAAAACTCCTGGTTCAGAGCTGTTCTGAATCCCCCAGATCAGACCATGGAAAGATTGAGTTCACAGCAGAACTGTATTTGGACCACCCATCTGTCCCTAAGGCTACTTAGTGCTGATGCCTAAAGAGGTGGGCACACATCACCCAGATGGATATACACATGAAGACTGGCATCATGGGTGGTACAGAGGAATTCTTAAGCAGCAATGACTTCAGCTAATCACTGGAGAATACAAAGTAAATCCCCCTGAAGACAAATTTCCATTAGCATGCTATGTTGCTGAGCTGTAAAATATGTTGCAAGTCTCACAGGTGTGACAGCAAATACCAAGTAACATTAAAAAGCCTCCAGCTACTTCAGTTTTGATCCAAAGTGTTTAAAGTCTGGGGGGTATAGAGGGAAGGAGCTCTTCTGTGAAAAGATGGTGAACACTTAGACCAGTCCTCCTTTAAGTCTAAGGTCAAGCTGCAAATGGCAAAACCCAAAATTCTAAACTTTTAATACCTCAAAGCAAATAAACAGGTCAGTCTTTCAAAGAAAAATACAGATCATCTTCCTAAGAGTGACCCTAACTCACAACTGGATGGAAAGCAAATGGATATTTCCTGCTCATGGTATGCAGAGGTTTGTACTTTTAATGTCATAAAGACACTCAGTAATAATTTACTCTGCTATTCTTCTGAACAGTCAGACTTCTTGAAGGCACTTCAATCCTCTAACACATGATTCTGCTACAAACCAACCCTCGGGGCTGCCTTTGTCAGTCCTAGAGCTTTGAATGAACTGCAGTTTATTCTGACAAAAATTACTACTTGTGATTCAAGGATTTTCTGTCTGTAATGAATAGCTCAAAGACAAAAAACCTGTCCCCAAACCAGCAATCTAAGGCCAGTGGATTGTAAGAGATGATTGTGTATTTAATTGCTCAAACCAACTGCAATCCAGTTGGATAATGTCAGTTATTCAATCCAGTTAACTGCGATGGGTCAAGAGTTCAGCATGGAACCTCATTTTGTCTGACACATGAGCTCATCTTTCCTACACGAGAACAATACACTTAGAGCACGTGGGGGAGAGGTGTGTGAAAAATAAGGAAGGTTCACCAAAAACCTGCAAAGTTACATAAATTAGATTGGTTTTATTACTTTAGAACTGCAAACTTATTAAAATTGAGGTTCTAGCTTCCATTTGAAGGAATAATCAAGCTTAAAAAGCTTCATTCCTAATGATAGTGTTGTCATAGTAACTGAGTAACTAAAACACAGAAACCAAATTCTTTTAATGAATTCAGGAGCAAAAATTTTGGAGTTGAGTAGTACATCATAAAAATATGATCAAAATGTCTCTCCCACTTGCACAGTCAACCATATGAACCTAAACTTAATCTTAAAAATAATCTTAACCCTCTCCCTCAGCTATTCAAGTACTCCAGAAATAAAATATCTTGGACATTGTTTCCACAGAATGATATATTTGTTACTATATTTCTGTATTTTCAGTTATTTCCTACTGCAGCAGATTTCAAATTTCCATACAAAAGTAATGTAGCTTTCACTCAAAAAAAATCAAAACCCAAACACAAGTAAAGAAACACATGCACATCATTGCACACAGCAACAAACACAAGACCTATCACTAAAATAAGAAAAAGATTAGGTAAATATGGCACCTAAAGTAGAGAGCTTCAGAGAGTATAACATGTCCAGACTTAAACAGAGAATTAATCTCATACTTGCTAAAATCACCATCTGATTAAAAACCCTACAAAACCCACACTCACAAAACCCATTTCATTACAATGTAATCAGGGTTAAAAGAAAAAAAAAAAAAAACAAAAAAATCCCTACAAACAAACCAATAAACAATTAGACAAAGCAAAACACTGAATAGAATATTATCTTCTGACTCACTGTCTCTGGCCAGGAAAGACTAAAACATTGAGATACAGAACAGAGTCCAAACCTATAACTCCCCAATTTAAATGTCATGCTGACTCTCCATTTGTGCCAACAGGAAGCAGAAAGTACAGGCTACACCTGAGAGGAGTGAAAAGGCAGCAGCTACAGGCAAGGAAGAGAATTCTAGGTAACACAACCCATGTAGGGGAACGTGCAGTAACAGAATCAGCAGTGACCATAAATTTATTGCTTTTGAAGTGTAAAAACAAGACACATTTGGTAAACAGAAATTCAAGAAAGGAAAGGCTCAGTACCAACAGGAGGCCAAGGACTAAAGGAATTACATGGGCCAGACAAATAGAGCTATCTAAGTAAACACTAAAAATAGTAAACACTGTTTTTGAAAGCTCTTGTTCAAATAATCTACTTGTCATATCTGAACTACAATTCGAACTGCAAAGTGAAAAGTTTTATTTTCAGAATATGAAGACTTACAGCGATAGGTTAAAGCTACAATTGGGAAATTCTGCTTTGGCTATCAATACCAATTTTCTCTGCATTTGCCCCAGAAACATTGTTAGGAAGATGAAATTTAAGATGGTCTGACTGCTTAGCTAAGCTACAGAAATTGAGAAGGTTTGTATTTCTAGAGAACAAACTTGTATGGAAGAAAACCTGTATGTTAGAACCACAAAGCTTCTACAAAATCTCTTTTTCCACCCTCTAGAGAAATAGGAGCTTTCAAGATTTAAATCACTACAGGTCATCACAGAATCATGGAGTAGTTTGGGTTGGAAGGAACCTTTAGAGGTCATCTAAGTTCAGCCTGCCTGACCACATTGAAGGAAAAGAAGAACAAAAACTAATTTAGGTTTGTTTCACCTTTCTGTTGTAAAATTAAGTATTGCAGCAGAACAACATAAGCGACACAATATGGGAAAACACAAGATTTCAAAAATCAAGATTCAGTTACAGTGAATTTTGTCAAAACCAGAGAAAAAAAAAGAAGACATAAGTTTTGCTCCTTACTATAGCAGAGACTTGATTATGACGAAGGTTGAGCTCTGTGAGTGAATCCAGTCCATTAAGGTTTTCTACAACAGTCAGTAGGTTTCTTGCAAGGTTTAACACTCTCAGTTCACTTAAATGACCAATGTTTTCTATTTTAGTAATCTGTGAAAGAAATACAATGATAAACATGCACACTGTGTTTTCTACAGATACACAATAGATATATGTGGCACACACATTTTTCTAAAAAGCACACATGAAAATGGACTTCATACAATACTGTGCTTGTGTATGGCTCTAGACCAGGATACTCACGGGAAATTGCTGAAAACAAGCTCCTAGAGATCCAGAACAAGTATTCACTCATATCTTTCTAGTCACACTGCAGTTAAACTCAGTGAACACTTCCTTCCATACCATCAGCAATCAAGTTACTTCAGGTGTACTGCTCTGTAGCAGCAACCTTGAAAACACCATAAAACCAAGATGACACTGATGATATCATGGTTTGCCAAAATGGGGAAATTTTGTGCATGGCTGATCTTTAATTTGACTTTAATATGCTAAAACGAATCTCCTGGTGCCTATGCTGCAAGAATAAACACCATCTTATCTCCCTAACATCACAGAACTCTGCACCAATGTTCCCTTCATGGCTCTTAAAATTAGCAGCATTCACAGCTCTATCTACAGGAGCTCCACACACTTTCCAGCAGGTCATGAGGACAGGAGCCTGCTGGGAGCCAGAGGCAGTTATTCTGAAACTGCAACCTGCAAGGAATTTTTACAAGCAGGTAATTGCTAGGATCAGGACATACTCCAAAGTTAGGAAAGAAAGCAGCAGCACCCTGAGTTGGGATACACAGCACATCTGCCTGACAGCCCTCAGCAGTTCTTCAGCAACTCATAGCTGCTTCAGCAACTCAGTGGTTAGAAAATGGAGGGGACTAAACTGCAGTAAAGAGGCAGCTGCCACAGGTTTGTTTTTATACTTAATATTCTATTTTAAAGATTCTGGTGATAATGACCCAAAAAAAAGTAATAGAAAGAGTAATAATGCCACATGGCAGAGAGAAGGCAGCAGGTTTTCCCACGGAAAAGACTTCAGCCAGCCTGAGTTTGGATACTAAATGCCACTGTGTGGCAGTGCATCCAAGGACACAGAGCATAAAGCTGCTAACATGTGTAATTCCCTTTCAATTAGAAGGATCATCTGCTGGACCACTGTGAGCTCCCTTCAACACCCAGGACTGAGGCACACCACCCCTCAAAGCTGCCAACAGCACCAGGGTGCAGACAAGCAAGACAGGGATTGGTGTCACACACCTTCCAAGTGAGAGGGAACTTTCTGATGCCTTAGGCCAGAACAAGTCTGGCTGTGTCAGTTTACAGAAAGTGTCTAGCAGCTCCTGGAACAGGAGAAGAGGCAAGGTAGCTGTTATTTAATAGGTTGAGAACACCAATTTTGTTGGTAATTTTCATATATGTACACATACATATGTATATATATGCAAGTCGACAATATATGACTGGAATATGCTGCTGTAAAAAGTATTTCAGCAATTCTTCAATTAACAGCATATAAAAGTAGCTAAGACTAAAGTTAGGTAACATCTTAAATCAGCTTTTGATTCACCTGCTCATTAAATGATCCTTCTATATCTATTTCATGCAATAAAAAAAATAAATTATCAGGATCCAAAAATATTACAGCAAGAGGAACAGAAAATATCACCACGCAGATGAATATATTTAGACAGAAATCCTCATAAAAGCAACGCCAGGAGCAGATGGTTAGCATGAAGAGCACAGACCTCTGCAGATGTCTGCTGAGCTAGAATTACAGCATGCCACAGTGTAGAATATTAATCCTGGCACTTCACTGCTAGTGCAAAGAGAACGATTTCATCAGCAATGTATAGAGACACTCTGCATCACTCTGCTAAATTTCAAGATTATCTCCACTGGATTTCCTGTTCCAATTCTACATACACACCTGACAGCACACTTGATAGGTATGGATTAGATACAAGCTACTACCACCTCTTTTTTGGGTTATTCAAGTAACAATTTTAACCAAAAGAAATTGCATCTGTGACTATTTTCTATTAATTATAAGTAAAGAAATATTGTTAACCATTTTTTCTTAATCAAATACACAAGTCAAAGGCTACTTGCAAACGTAGAACAAAAACACTATTCTCTTGTTTGCTTCAGTCTTTGAATACTTCACTATGAAACAGATTTCAGAAAAAGGCTGCTATGCACCACATAATCACTCATCGATAATTAAATCGCACAAATAATTAAATGCACAAAACTTGCATCCTTTAAAAAACATTTCTGAGACGAAAGAAAAGAATTTCATGCCTGAAAAAATTCAAATTGCATCCCTTTTTCTTTTTACTTATGTCTTTAACTTTTGGCAAGACAAATGATTCATGGAATTAAAGAGAGCACAAGAAATGACTTCAATGATTTTCCATGTTTAAAGCATTCTGGAATACAATTCATGTGGAGTGGCTTTGAGTGACACAGTATTACACACTCACATTAGTATGGTAATAACCACAGGAACAGCCTCTACATGAAAACCTAATCAGTATTATTAAAATGCTGTATTCTTACACTTATGAGGAAAACACACTGAAAAACAAAGTCACTTACTGTACTCCAAGATTTAATGTTAGCTCTTAATAATTTGTGATGTTCTCTGGATCAAAGTATAATTATGAAGCCAATCTAGCAGCAACCAGCTGGGCACTGTGCCCAAAACTCCAAGCAAAGTTGCAATTAATGTAAAGAGAGTTGCACAGGTACTTGAAGGCAAAAAAAAAAAAATTAAGGCAGACCTACATCACAATCCCTTGTAAGAGTTGTGCATGACGTGTCATTTCCATCAGTGATTCCTTCATTTGTGCTGACTGGCACAGCTGCATGTTTAGTCTGCATACCAAACATAACCCCTCCAAATTTACAACAGCAGTCAAGGAAGGATTATACCCACACAAACCCTTTGAATGACTACATTTGCAAACAGTCAGGACTCCAAGGGCAATGTCATCATCTGGTCCTAGACTGCCTGTGCCACTGTACAACGTGCACAGTGTTTGACTAACATCATTCAAAGCAGCCACAAACTTCCTGCATCACTTCTAACAGTAACTCCCTATAGTGCTAGTTTGTATTCTTCATTTCCTACTTTTTTCCAAAGTTTTTCTACTCCCCAGTGTCAAGCAACTGTTTAATAAAGAACACACACACACAGAGAAATCACTAAGACATCAAAACTGTCAGAAGAGGAATCCAGAAAATTCATACATTGGTCTTGTATAGTCACCATCACCATATGTTGTTTGAAACAGCTCAATTACAGGACATTGTATTACATGTGGTTTAAATTTGTTTTACAAAGGAATACTATATCCATCTTGCCCCTGGAACTCCATGCTGCTTCTGACATACCCATTAAACTAACATCTTCCTCTTACATGGACTACAGCTAAAGCTTTATGCACCACTTGAAGCAGAAATGACTGCTTAGACTCAGACTGGGGAAACTGAAGAGATGTTAAGTGACTTAAGTGCATTCAGAAGCAGGAATTAATCAAGAGCTTAGACCCATTCTGCTTTTTCCTGTACAAACATAAGTCTTCTACATATATGGAAGGGATCTGGTTTTGTAAGCCCACCAAGAGTAGAAACAACTCAGCAGTCAATGGCATCTTAAAATTTTATATGACTGCTAAGACTCTGTTACTGTAACTACACCACAACTACTTATGGTAGATTCCTGTTCTGTAGGTGCAAGTGCTGTTATACTCCACTGACTCAGCATTTTAAACACTCTAACTGTCCAGAAGTACAATGCTCAAAATACAAGAGGCCTAATACAAAGATTCAAATTAAACATCACACCACTCTTAATTTATATACTGATTTCTGTGACCTCAAGAGTTGCAAAATTTGCTCCCAGTTCCCTTTCAAGAAACAACAGCTTGGTAAAAGACACAGCAAATGCATAGTGTCTACACAAGAAACTTAAGTAATGAAGTTATTGTACTGTACCTGATTTCCATGAAGATCTAAAACATCAAGATTTATTAGGTTCTCCAGATTTGAGATCTTCTTTATTCTGCAAGATTTCAATTATGCATGAATTATTTTTATTAGATAAAAAGTATCTTTTATTTTACAGCTAATACAAAACTTAGCCATTTTTCCTGACTATCAAGTGTAACAGAAGAATAACCAAGTTTTGAAACATAAAAAATAAAATTAATAAATGAATGAATATGCCTAGACTATCACCTTCCTTTCTGACTGTCAGTAGTAAGTGTATGTGGCTCAAGGAAGGAATACTTGCTCCACTAGAAAATCAACAACCAACCTTCCCAGATACCTAAATAATAAAAAAAAAAGTTATTACTGGCAAACAGCCAATTTCAAATCAGTTCAATGAAAGACTACAGTGACACAGACTTCTGAGAGTTTGTCAGAACACCAAATTAAAAACACCCTGAAAGCCACTGGCCCTTTCCAGACAATACAGAGCTCCAGGCTTGGCACTGTGTCCTCTCACCTGGGCAACTTCACTGTCTTAAAACTTCTCTGTCCTGTCCTATTTTCTCAGATTCCAAGCCTAGGCTGTTATACACTCAACAGCATCATCTGCTGGCTGATGATATTAAACACTGTGTATTGAGCATTTGTTTCAAGAGTAATCAAAGATCACACACAGACCAAATAATGAACAATTTGCTAGCAACTGTGTCCAACTTGGAATCAATCACACATAGTATATCTAGTCCCAGCTACCTCCAAACCACACTTCTAGGGAAATGAGCTAAACTGCACTCAATGCAGTTATGACACAGAAAATAATTCCTCAGAGCACCCTAAAATTTTAGTTCCCATGCCCCAGCATTTTACTATAAATAAATTTGGTTTCTACAGGCGAGATAATACAAAAGCTATTAGATCGAGTAACATGCTGCATCAGTGAAAGGTGCCAGTTTTGAATTTGGGCTAGCTTAGAAAGTACATTCCTTATAATCTGCACATAAGTTTGTTCACCAGTTCTCACTTTAATAAATATAAATAAGGAAAATGAACTGAATTAGAGCTCAACCCTCAGATGTGTGAGCAATTATTAGAATTAAAGGCCACGGGATTAGAATCAATGAATAAGCAATAAAATTCATGACTCATCTGCCTGGTCTACTTCCCAGCTAAATACACTAGGCACAAATACTCTTTACAGATTATAAATAATCAATGAACACTTTAATTGATGTGAAAAAACACTGCACCTGCCACACAAATCATGTATTTAATAGTGGATCAGAATAGAAGATCAGATAGAAACATGCTAAGTAGTTCAGAACTTTTGTTAAAATTTATGCAAGTAAGTTTCTGAAGAACATGGCACACAAAAACTCTGTGCTTCCTCAGTGGGATCCCTCTCACTTAGCCAGTGTTAGGGACCAGCTCACTGGTCTCACAGCAACATCACAAGCTGAAAACTAAGGAACAGAAACCCTGACAGATCACAGTGGTTATGCCATGAAGAAGTAGAGTGCTTTAAGTTAGTTTGATTCCTTTTACCTGTTCTTTCCCAACAAAAGGACTCTGAGGGATCTCAAAGTTGAAATCCCACTTATTTCCTCAATCTGATTATCATACAAATCTAAGAAAACAAGATGCTGCAGATTAGAGATATTTTGGATCCGAGTTATAAAGTTATGTTGGAAACTCAAAAGCCGAAGATGATCTTCCCCATCAATAACTGGGCACACTGTCAGTTTTTGCCTGAGAGAAAAGAGAAACAAAACACACATGTAAGTAACAAATTAGTAACCCATCTTAAACTCTCCCACTCGAACTGAACAAAGGAAAGTATATTAGCTTGGTTAAGGTAGCATTAAGGTAATCAGTTGCTAATTAAACTCTGCAAATAAAGCAGTAACTCCTACTTATTAAAAAAATAGCACGTAACAGCAGAAGTGTTTCCAAAATTTTCTGAACACCTCTCCTCTTAGTCAGAGATTCACTTGTTACATGGAAACTACATAAAGTTTTGTGGTGTGACAACACTAAAGTTTCAACAGACGCAGCCTCACAATCCTCTAAGTTTTTCATGATACCACATAAACAGCCTGTTTAGATCAGAATTCAGCATTGTGTCCATGCAATTTTTCTGTGGTTTATAGAAATATACATTTGAAAGACAAATACATGAAATAAGTATGCAGAAAAGGGTTATTGCCATTTCAGGATTATTCCAGAAGTCCTATTGACCTGACCATAGTTTTTTGGACTACATGAACCTAACACACACACAAAAAAGTAATTAAAAATATTAAACCTCCCTCAGGTAAAACTTTTTTGGTGTCCCAGTCAAGGAGAAGGAAAAAAAAAGACCAATAGATATCAGAAAAAAATAAATTCACTGTTTGTGTGGTCAGGCATTGTTACAGGGAACTGCCCAGGGAGCTGGTGGAGCTGCCGTCCCTGGAGGTGTTTACAAATGTCTGGACCTGACTCTGGGTGATATGGTTTAGTGGTTACAGTGGTAGTGCTGGGAGAATGATTGGACTTGATGACCTTAAAGGTCTCTTCCAATCTTGATGATTCTGTGACCATTCTCCAGTGAATGCACCAGATGGGAACTGATGGAGACACAGCCTCAGGTGATGACATGCATGACCCTGCATTTGACTCTTAAGCCAGCTCCAGTTTACAACAGAAAGCTCTGCCTTGGATGACTTCTGTATGGATACATTCATCACAAGGACACTCATACAGAACTTCTCTGTGGAACACAGCTCTTCTCTCAAAACCACACACACACACACACACACACACAGCCCAAAAAACCCAAGCCCACCACTTGTACCACTGACCACAGCCACCAGCAGGAAACTCAGCACTTTAGAGCAGGAGTCCCAAGCTATGGCACGTATCCTCCACCACCTTCTCACCTTTCCAGGGTAAGTCTGTCAGAGTTCAGTACTTTCTCTTCAGCAGTACGTTGCAATACAGGAAACGTTATCGATGAGCTGCTCCCAAAATTTGTGTTGTTATCTGGTAGGAAATAAGACAGAAAATCTAAGAACTATTTCTTTGTAAACGCATTCATGAACTACAGGTAATAAAAGCAAAATTTTCTTTCTCATGAAAAGCAAAGCATTGCACAGTACATCAAACTGCTTTTTGCCTCCATTCAGTATTATGATTTATCTGTTTTCTTTCCTGACATTTTTTGTTAACAACTATATCTCTCTATATCCTCTTTGCAAAGTACATCTGTTTGTTTCTGAGATTTTCTGTCAATCATTTGTTGTAAACAGTATTTTGTAGATGTTTTTATTTTGATTAGAATTACCCAATGATGTTTTAACATAAAGTTGTATAACTGTTTCATAATTTCAGTAGCTCAGGTTAAAGAAGATATTACCTAACTTAAGAATTTAAAGACATGGATCAAGTAGATATTGATAGCACTAGAAACTAAAGCACCAAAACACTGAAACAATCTCACTGAGCCACAAACCAATGCAAAGTCTTTTAAAGGTAAGTGCAGGCAATACTTTGTAATGACTGGAATTGTACTTCACTCCATTATCAAGAAACAGGCAGCCCTTTCAGACATGTTTATAAAGCTGTCCCTCATCATCCAATTCATCAATATGAGAGGACAAGAGGATGTCTAAAAATACCTGCAAAATTAATCAACTAAAGTGTTTTGTGAGCTTTGGCTTATTTGGAAAATGATCCACTGAAAAGTATTGGTCAAAAATAGATCACTGTGCATGCACACTGCCACTAAAATATAGGTTCAACTCCTACATCCTTGCTCCTTTCTTCTTTTTTTTTCTCTTCCTTCAAATAATTCAAATATATTAATGGGAAAACCATTAATTCTTCAATAAACAAAGACAACTGCTTTACCACTATAGTGAGTGAGTTCATTAATGTCTAAAATATACCATTAGATACCTATTTAAATAAAACAATTAGTTGTTCGATTTAAAATCTTTTCAGCGCTACTCAACATTTTATCACTAGCTACTCTAACAACATTCTCTTTGTCCTTCAAAATCAAAACAACTGTGAAGAAAAAAAAACCTCAGACAAAAAACCTCAATCAGCATTGTCACAAAAGTCTTCAGCTAGCTGTGTTGAAAGTTTTTAAGGCAATAAATATAAGACTAGAAGGTTAAAAGTCAGTCTGAAACATGGCAGGATAGCAGAAAAGTGACTTTTTTTCTTCTACTGTCATCCTCCTAAAGACAGATGTGAAGGATCCCTTTTATTGCCCTGTAATTAAAGAAAGATTAATAAAATGCCTCTGTTGAATGTCTATATTATATTTTTGAAGAACATTTCCAGTGGTTTCTTAACAATGATCTACTAACCTCTCTTAGCACCCAAAGGTAAAACTTTTTGTTAAGAGAGAGAGGCTAAGGAGAAGTTTTTGCTGTTACCTGAGGCATGTGAACTAACACTGTGGCTGCTCTGTCGGGATCTGGATTTTGTAGGTGTGTGAAGAGCAGTGTCACCAAATCCTGATAAAGAACCTGTGCTCTGCTTCAACTCCAACCCAGACAGCTCTGTCAGACTGGATGGTACTGGAAGGTACAGCTGCTTATTACGCACCAAAGGACTTAATACTCTTTGGTCTCCTGTGCAGGGAACAAAACCAAACAGCAGACTTACATTTACTCTGTAAGTTGCATGATACCCCGAAGAAACAACCCATTCCCAATGGCTGCTGCTACGTATTTTCTACCAGAATGAATAAAGAATAGACATACTAATAAAACTGATCTTTCGTCCTAACCAATCACTGGTTTTACATGACAGGCAAGAAGCACCAGCATGGCAAGAAATGTTGTTTCAAGGCTCTTCCAGTCTTCACCACATTAGCAGTGAAAACTCTCTCCTCATATCACAGTTCTGAACTGGAAACTAAATTTTTCTAAATATATTATGATGTTAAATGCCCAATTAGAGAGTTGTGTAGCTTCTGAGGGAATGCACAGTAGGGCACTTAATAGGTTGTGGCTTTGCAGGCAGAAAAAGGAATGCTCTTTCATGAGGGGAAAAAACGTGCTGAAAGAAGCCATCTGCACCAGGCAGGAGAAGGATAGCAAGTTCAGGATGTGATGCAACACTAATTACATGGAATGCCAGTTAGGGAAAGCTGTCACTCTTATATATTCTAATCACAATACAATCTTTCTTTACTATTCAGTTAACAACAAAATAGATACAAAAGCCAAACAAACGAAACCCTTTTGAGCATCACCTTGTCTTCCTGCATAGTTTTTTTCCAGATCATGCTGCAGAAGTCTACTGTGGAACGAGGACTGTTCTTTATTTATCCTGAATTCAAACTGTAACACAACATTTAAGACAAATGTTAAAGTTCTCAAATGCAAATAATGTCATTATACAGACAAACACAACCTTAGCAATAACTACAGTCCTCAGGAATGTCTACAAATGCTGTTTAAGATGTGCTAATTGTTCTAATAAAAGGTGTATTCATTCCAGCTTCACTGTTGGAAACCAAAAGGAAAGCATGGAAGTTATCAGCACATTCATATGCAGATAATTAAATAAAGAAAAAAAAATCCCACCCAGTAAGGTGGTGGCCTTATCATTACAGGAGGCAGGCAGGAACAGATGGAAGCACAAGAAATCATGTAGATAT